GGTTGTTATCTTTTGGGAACTCCGCTCATTGCATAGGAACTCAGTATTGTATGAGGCTCAGCAGAACATTTTAGGAAAATTTACCTCGAGCTCCCCAAATAACCCTTACAGCATTGATTTTCAACAATCTTACATTGGTGGGTTTGTATAACCTAGTGGGAGGAGTGAATGACGACGCTGCGCGTCAATTTTACAGGGGTAAGTAAGCCATCGGAAAACAGACAAGCGGGATTCGTAATACAAACTACAATCAGTTGTAATAGATATGCTTCGTCTTGGCACTCTTACGCCATATTTAATAAACTTCTTGTTAATGCCTTCTTATAACTGATACCTGAAACATATGTGCCGAAAATACACGGAGGCAAATTTACCAGAAGTGTATGGGTTGCCAACAATCTAGTGACGAGCGAAAGGTTGGTAACCCTCCAGTGGACACAGCAATCGACGATAGGACCCTTCGACCGCCAGTTACAGGCTATTGAGCAGTCCCACTCAACCGTAAATTCATCACCATCATCATCATCATCANTAAATGAATTACTCACGCTTCGTAGGTTACGCAGGTTAGGACACGTACTCTGAATACAAGAAGACCATCTGCCTTGTAGAGGTCTTTTCGCCCATCCCTGTCTCGAGTAGGAGCGACCGAGAAGTGGATAGTGTATGTCATCACCGTCATCAAAGACAGCAACATCAGTGTTGGCACTGATGCTTCGCTGCCGTACAACCATAATGTTCGTCTAGTTATATATATATATATGATTGTATTAAAAGCCCTACACTGAAAAGAAGAGGAGAAGAGTGGGTGGGGAGGGGACCTAGTGCATTCTGAAGTGCCTACACCTCCAACCGCTCAATCAGACAATCTGAAAAGAAAATGACAGCACGAACGCCACTGACATCGATTAGCCGCCATTTCTTGCAACGTGTCCAGCCACACACAGCCGGGGTCACGGGGACCCCATCCTGGAAGGCGTACAACACCCACAACACCCAAACTTTTTGACGCCAAGTCATGTGCTGTCCAACTTACGGTTTGCGCCGCCCTAAAGGAGGCAGGGAGAACAACACTTGTCTCGGTAGACGGTGTTTCGGCATGCGTAACACATGACTGAGCCATTGCAGTCGATGATGCTGGATGCCTTCTCGGATTGAGGTGTCCGCAGCGCAACCAAATACCCGTTTTCTAATCACCACGTTACTAACCAGCCACGCTTCTGAGGCATCGGTGGTCGAAAACCTGAAGACGCCTCACATCATCTGTCCGCAGAGGCCATGTCTCACCCCCATGCAACAACACAGCGCAAACTGTCGTGGAACGTCCTACAGATGACCCCTCAGGATGAGACCGCCTCTTTGACAACACGACCAATCTGGTTTATTTCCTTTGACATCAACACTACTTGGGCCTCGTGCTTTGCGTGAACCCCAAAGACCAAGCGGTAAGCGGTTTCTTTTCTTGGTGGCGAGAAAGAAAACATTCGGCTCAAATTGTCAGTCATCCTGTAGAATAACTGTGCGCACTTTTCAAACACGGTGGACTGTACGTATTCACAGCTTGATGCATTGAACTAAAACCATGTTTAGGTCCTTGGATCTTGACCACCGACACTAGTCTTCCATTTACAAACGTAATAAATGAGCTCGCTTCCGCTAAATACAGTCAGCAAATCCAAACCAATCTCGCTCAGAGTTCATGTATCCTCCAACGGCTGAGATGCGAAAACTTCTGAGGTCAGTTTTCTGAGATGAATGAAGCTGCTCACAATTTGCCACATTGCTCAACATGTGAGTGGCTGGTTTGAAGTGTCAGCGGAACACGTTTCCTATTGGTTACACGAATAAAAAATAAAAATGACTGGTTTCAGTTCGGAGCTGCGATGAGTAATATACTCAGTCTGTTGTTACCCCAAGTGCTCCTCATCATTGTTACCTATGCCTGTCCAGATAGTTTCACTTCTGTGGGTGACGGGTATTGTATGATCGAGTACCAAGGTGTGTATGACTACTGTGGGGCGCACGAATTTTGCCTTGATTACGGCAGACAACTGGGACACCGGTTGTTTATGGTCGGTAAACATTCGAGGAATTTGGCTGAGCACTTTGACAATACTAAAGGAGCTTTTACGGGATTGCATACGTTACTTAATGATGTCGGTCGATCGGTGGACGGCTGGCAAGTAACCGATCCAGGGAATACACCGCCAACGGAACAGTCAGATGGACTCATTTGGGAATTTGTCAGACCAAACAATGGGAGTGAGACCATCGCGGAGTTGACAATGTATGGTCTGAACGAAATCAATCAACTGAGCACATTTCGTCGGGTGGTTTGTGAACTGTCTTCGGTTCCCCTACCAAATGAGAAGCATATCGAAATGTTTCAACAGTCTGCGCCCCCGAATGGCATGTTCTTGTTAAAGAGCGTCGGCTGCTTTGAAGCACATCCTGGACTGACGGTTTTTGGCTGTGCACTTTGGTAAGTTGAAGGTCACCATTCTTACTTTGATCAGTTGTGATTGGAACTGTTCGACTTTGGTTTAGCAGGTAACAACTGTTACCATGGCTTCGGTTTTAGGGAATAGATTGAACTGCCCGAGATGTAATGGTGGCCATTTCAGCCAACAGGTGTTTTTGGACAGGCTGTTGGGTTCACTTGGCAATCTGAGTACTTACCAGAGACCCAGGTGTTTTTGGACAGGCTGTTGGGTTCATTTGGCAATCTGAGTACTTACCAGAGACAAAATCTTCTGGAGCCTGAAAACAAAATTGACGCGTTTACCTCCTGGCTAAAAGGGAGTAGATATTTTTATACAGAACGTTGGTCCTCGGTGGAAAATGAAGCCTTTACCGTACACTACAAACAATAACTGTGTTTATAGTTGATTACAATTCAAAATTCACCTCCCTTATTTTTCGGCCACAAAACAAATAAGGTCATATAAATTCAGCATGACGTAAATTCCTCATATCTAACCATAAACGCACATAAATAACGAGTAATCGATAGCTAATGATTACATTTAAACGCAACGGAAACATGCAGTCCTGATAACTAACTATCTGACTAGCTTGCCATTTAACTATATGTTTAACTAACTAACTAACTAACTAACTAACTAACTAACTAACTAACTAACTAACTAACTAACTAACTAACTAACTAACTAACTAACTAACTAACTAACTAACTAACTAACTAACTAACTAACTAACTAACTAACTAACTAACTAACTAACTAACTAACTAACTAACTAACTAACTAACTAACTAACTAACTAACTAACTAACTAACTAACTAACTAACTAACTAACTAACTAACTAACTAACTAACTAACTAACTAACTAACTAACTAACTAACTAACTAACTAACTAACTAACTAACTAACTAACTAACTAACTAACTAACTAACTAACTAACTAACTAACTAACTAACTAACTAACTAACTAACTAACTAACCTAACTAACTAACTAACTAGCTAACTAACTAACTAATTAACTAACTCATTTGATACCTAACTAGCCTACAAGCTTACTAGGTACATAACTAATGTTCCTCTGCCCACTTCCAATTTCTCACTCGCTAAGAAAGATTTGATTGCCTTCGTTTTTAAAGTTCTCTGATGGAAGTTTAACAAATTTTACCAGCATCAATGATTCACTCATCATTTGGACGGTAGATACTCGACTTCCCACATACTACTTCCAATATAGACACGAATGAAAATTCTGGAGAATTGTTAAAATAGCTGTAGTATAAGCCGAAAATCTGTCTATCAAACAAACTGTACAATGAAAAGCCAAGGAATCATCAGTACCTCATGAATTTCCCAACATTACAGAACATTCCGGACAATGGATGACCTTCGGCGACGATTACATGATCTGCTCCGATCCCTGATACAATATGGCGCCAGCCATCCTTCACACCATGATGTCAAGCGTTGCTTGACCCCTGGGTGGTAACTTCTCTAAGGGAGAGACCTTGCAGCTTGTGAAACTGTTTTCCTTGGAAGTAGATACTTCATGGTAATGATTAATATTAGTGTTAGCAATGTTGTGGAATGTAGGTAGCTCGGGTGCGCTGTTTGGTTGTTGGTCTGTTCGCCGAGCTTGGCAGTTGGATTGCAAACGTTTCATCACCAATCGAGGTGACATCGTCAGTGCAGGTTTGAGTGGGTGAATTCCTCCTCTTCTGCCTGTGATTATATAGCTTCTAAACAGTATTTGGTAGTTATTTGGTAGTATTTGGTAGTTTATAATATTAGTGTTTTCTAAAAGAGTTTTCACCTGAGAATTCAGGCCCGTCTGTGCTAAAATATACAGAAAAGCACTGCACAAAACCTTACTACGTGTGCCAAAAACTCAAAGTTTCGATCCCGGTCAATGGTTGGACAGTCAAATGCAAGGACGGCACAGCCGAACAGTGTGCTTCTTGTAGCGTAGATTGGCCTTACTGACAGTACGACACCTCAATTGTGCAGTATGAAATCTCATCACACTGTGGCCAGTCCACTTTGTGAACGTTCATAGATAGTCCCTGGGAAGATGCTCTTTATCCGGCTGACAAAGGGCTGCGAAACTGTCTGAAGAAGCCCAGAACGACAGGTGTATCATGAACAGTTTATGTTGCGGCAGAACTTGCAATCCAAAGAAACTCTCATCAACCATTTCCACACATAGTGCGTGTTCCGTTTTTCTGCCATCAGCTTCCATGACTTTAGCCTTGGTGTATGTGATGCCACAATCAATGACAAGCCGTAATAGGCTAACCCAAAAATTCGGCATTATGACTGCCGAATCTAGCTGACTGCATATCTAGTGGGTAGCGGATTTGACCAGTATCCACCCAAGCTCATTGTCTGATCCCTTCGCCAAAGTTCTCCAAATTTTCGAGAAATACACTCATTTGCAAATCTAATTGGTTCTGAGACTCAACTGAATCTCTAGTTTATGATATTCTACAACTGAATGTGCTGCACACAGGCCGCCTTATAATTCAGTTGGCACGATATTCGATATATCGCAGTATATTTTCTCCCAATTTTGTTCTTATGATAACCTATAGACTTTATCAACCGTTCTAGCACGTTATATTGCACACTTGTGAGTGAATAAGAATCAGAGTCTGAAACGATGCATTTTTGCGTACCGCACTTGAGGTAACTTAACTTAGATTAGCTCAGCAATTAACTGGCGAGAAAAGACTTCACAATTACGCGCTGTTTTTACTTGCTCACTTGAAACAATGGAAGAGATCAGATCAACAATCGATAAGCGCAACTATGTAAAAAATATTCCGACACTCTGCAGGGATTAGGTGGTAACTTTACGTCGAAGAGGTTATCTGTCACAATCGATTGATTGGCTGGCTAAGGTTCGCTTTTACAGTATTTCAACTTGATTTGCAGCTGGAATATTAAGTGAACAGCGAGAAAAGGTCAAAAAAAACTTTGTGTGGAGCCATTTAACGAGGCGTAATCAGACACCTACTAGGAGCGTGTAAAGTCAGGGTTCAAGTAGAACATAAGGTTGTTGGAAACTCGGGGACTGCGCCTACTTGATAAGCCCCAAGAAGGGCGAAACCGATTGTGGGCTGCCGAAGAGTTTTCAGCAACCATGTGAGTAGTTTTCTTTATCAAGGTAGATTACCTCTTGGCATGGCAGTCTCACAAAAGTGCATGGAATAATGTGTCGCCTATGGTACAAGGCCGTGTTGTCAGCGAACGAAATCCACTTCAGTCTCATACAAGCTCGGCCATCATATGATCCGTAATCAGTCACTATGTAATAGAGGGGAATCACCATAGTACCGGACAATTCATTTCATACTAAGGCGAAACATGTACAAAGTATTCGAGGAATACACTCATTTGCAAATCAATTTAATTTTTACGAGAGACTCTCGTTTATGATATTCCACAAGCAGAACATGAGGTTGAGGGAAACTAGGGGACTGGGCCTACCTGATGAGCCCCGATCGTGGGCTGTCGAAGAGTTTTCAGGAATCCTGTCTGTAGTTTCCTTTGTGAAAATGTACGAAGTATCTTCCGCCGTCACCTACTGTACCCCTACTTGAAAGAGACGGAAAGAGCGCGAAATGAAATCGGCTGCAGTCAAGCTGGCGGCCATACAATCGCTGTGCCTTCATAGGTAGGGTTTCTGCACCACTTTGGGGTCCTACAGGACATGACATCTGACAAAACTTTCGCAGGGGTGTTACGCAGCTAGAGTTTGTTTGTCCTTCAATGCTTAGTTCGCATTCGGCGGAATTCTGCAAAGACTGTAAGTCTTAGTGAGCAGAACGACTTGCTTCTTTGATGTTTGAAGCTGTGTGTACCTCATTCTTGGTGACCATTCAAACGTTATTTCAACAGCATAGTTTTTCTCGGCTGGTTGCTGTCTCATTATTAATTTTTACTACTGCCTGGTTGAATAGTAGTCATGTGGCGCGGATCGAATCCACTCACTAGTGGCCGTGAGATTACGTGCTTGCAATGCCTTTTGATTGCGTTTAGTTAAACAAACAGTGAGAAGGAGTACTTAAGTGCTTTGGTATCCAACCTGTGTGCTTTTTACAAGCTCACTTTGTCGGCCGCTCCAGGCTATGGAGATTCGAAAGAAATCATTCATTGGTCGTAGCGCACATCACTCAAACGAATTTGGAAAGCTTTCAATAGAATGGCATTTTACTTGAGTTTACGAGCTATACAGTGGGCTGCTGTTTAAACTTCCAAATCAGACGGTCCAACTCGCTCAAAAATTTAAAGCCCTTTCCTTTGAATGGAATTCCTCTCGATATCAAAGCGAAAACAATCAGAAAATGTTATTGGGATGTCGGTTCAATCCTCACCTATTCATCTTTTTTCTCATAAAATCACCTGGAGTTTTCAACGACATTTTGTCCAGGATCCTTTTAGTAATCTGGCCTTACGCAATTAAGATCTTTTTTCTCATAAAATCACCTGGAGTTTTCAACGACATTTTGTCCAGGATCCTTTTAGTAATCTGGCCTTAACGCAATTAAGTTGATTATCAGAAAGTGACAAGAACTAACAGATGTTTCTTTTACAAGAATGATGATAAAAAAGGTGATGTGCACTCGATAAAAATAGACACCATGCTAAAAGTAGAATAATCCAAAAAGTAACTCATCATTTGAGGGCAACTGTTGAGAGTTTCTGAATGAAGTTTCGCACACTTGACGTGCCTTCTGCTACACGTGTTCCGTGCTTAACCGTGGAGACTTGTAGAGCTCGGTTGACTTCCTGTGAGGTGTGCGCGATTGTACGTGTTTGGGCCGAGTCGCAGGCCTATTTATTGTGTGCAGTATGAAAAAAGGGGTGTCCATTCATGTTTGATCATTGCACGCACATGAATACAACTCGGCCTGATATGGTTGAATTTCATAAGCCTGGCACGTGACGCAAGTGCTGGCTGCGTAAACAAAAATCGATAGGAGATCGTGGTGTACGGCTGAGGTTGCAATTGAGACGGGAATGGTCACATGATCTGAGCGGGTGTGACTTGTCAGCTAGTAAGTGATCGCTATAAATTCTAAGGCAGCTTTTTAAGATTCGAGATCCAATAACTGCAGTCTATTCGATCTGTGAGCTTCGAAGCTGAAAAATGGACCGCAATCTGATCTCAGTCACCTGATGATATTAAGTTTCAATCCAGAACGTACAACGGAAAGTCCAGTTATAATATTCGCGACTGAAACATGAGGCGGCCTGGTGCAGCACATTCAGTTGCCTGAGAACATCATAGACGAAAGATTCAGCTGGGTTCCAGGTGAGTCTCTCGAAAAACCAAATTAGTTTGCAAATGAGTGTATATTCGCGTATGTTCTGACATATTTGGTTGATTTCGGGCTTGAAGAGCTTCTCAGTAGCGCAGAGTTGTATTGCATGTGTGCGTATATATGAAGAGAGCGGTGAAAGCCGTCAACAGAAGAGTGCATAGGCCTTCCAGAAATATCGGCTGACAGGTATGGACTGAAGTACACCGCCAACTGATGGTAGTGTATTCTATTTCGATCTTCGGAGTTGGTTCGTCTGTAGACACGACATAGGCCAGTGAAATCTGATTAATATAGGCTGGTTATGCAATGGAACAATCTGTGATTAACACACATCTACAGAAGGCCAGCGCGTCTCTTGTACATTCCAAGACGACCTACTTACTTGAATGTTTATATCACCAGCGACTACAGTGATGCCCGCTGTAAAAAGAACCCCTGGAGCGACACACAAATTTGCTCCGAAACATTCCGAGCCACAGCCAGCTGGGACAGGTGGTTTCCGTCATCCTCGGGATTATTTTGCATACGCTCCTCAGTGAACCGCGCGGAAGTGAGTATCAGAGGGGACCAAGTCAAGTAAAGAAACCTCAGCCGGGCAGCTTAACACAATCGTTATATCGGCATGCCTAGTTGCAGCGTCAACAGAGGTACGCAGTCGGAAGCAGTATGCAGGTGAGCAAGTCGCCACATTAATTACATTAGTTGCGCGCTGGAATTCTGCTTCTGACGGACAAAAGTCGCTTGTTGGCCTGTTGGTTACGGAGTACCACTGGTATCATTCGGAAAAGCCAGTCACAGAATTTACCTTTTTTTAACCTCTTTCGTTCGACAGCCCAGTTGGCCACTGTAACAAGCACAAGAACCGGGGATTAGCTGCACATCAAGCACAATGAGATGCCTGCTGTTTCTCTGATGGGATCTTAACAGGTGATCCATTGTCTTCCAGCTGAAATAAAAGCATGAATGATAGAGTTGATCAAAACAACAGAAACGATGTCATATATGTAGGATGTTCACTATTCTCAGTGGACAAATGTGAGATCCTGATGCAAAATTACTCTGCCACTAAGAGCAAGCTGAACAAGAAATTGACATTGAAGGGTGAGTGATGCTTGCAAACATCTGGCTGCGAGTTTCCAACCCCGATTGACTTAAAATTGTGTGCACCAAAAAATACTTCATATTGTTGAATTCATGTTGTCATAGTACCCGTTTGGCGCCTATTTTCAACGTGTGACAGACAGCTTCTAGCACGTGGTGCATGTAAGAAAGAAGCTAGCGTCGTAAAACATGGCCTCGATGAATGAATGAGCAGGTTGAAGCCATCTTCTGTCTTCGCTGTGGGTTGTTGAGAACTGTTGCGTTGAGCGTCAGTTTGTGAACCATTTTTCGGAAACTAGAAGAAGCTATCTGCAGTCACCTGGACAGCCTGAATATGAATCTACCTACAGTGTAACAACACCTGATCTCTTCCAGTTCACTCGGGGGGGAACGTCTCTTAAGCTCAGCCTGGCCACAGAGTGTAACAGCTGTTTTCTCATAGGAAGTTGATTGGCAGCTAAACTGATGTAGGAATTTTGTAATAGCACATTAGTTTACGACCTAATATTCCTCAAGGTCTTCGACAACTGAAGGACACTAGGCTACCAGTGGGCACTCAGTCGGATTGCATCTACGGTAGATTTTTCAATAGCGATCAGGAGCCTTCCTCAAACTGACACGGAGCAAGCACTTCTTACGTTGGTTTCATCAAGTAGACGATACCACCAGCCCATACGAATTCATCCGAATAGCAAATGTTTACCGCTTTCAGTTTACTAATTTCTGGTGACGTATGTCTATCCAAGCGCCAAATTTGAAGTGATGTGAGGTTAGTTCTGTATAAATGGAAGGCATTTTGGGAGGGAAAGCCACCCAACTTGCAGCGTTTTCCGTCCGTCAACGCTCCCCCCTCCTCCCGAGAAGCGATGGAATCGCGTAGGAAAATCGTCGGGGTGATCTTCTCAGAATGGATAACGGAATCATAGATTTTGTTGAATACATATCTCATATCCCAACAGTCAGGTGAGTATACGACAGAGCTCAACACAAACTGCGAGCTTATTGAGGTCGGTATTAGTATCGGAAACCTGAAAATGCTCATGACAGTTTAGGGATGTGTTTCCGCGAAGGCAGGTGAAACATGAATAAGGTAATGGTGCATTTAAGCCAAGCTGTAGGTATCCATATCTCGAATCCGATCACCGGTCAGTTTGCATCTGTTTAGCGATGATATAACAAACAGGAGTTACTAAAACACCTGGAGGCAGCGTCACAACCATACCAATCGGGAATGGCCTTCCAAAAGCCGTCTACTGTCAAACGGCCGTAGCAAGACATTCTGGTGACGTATGTCTATCCAAGCGCCAAATTTGAAGTGATGTGAGGTTAGTTCTGTATAAATGGAAGGCATTTTGGGAGGGAAAGCCACCCAACTTGCAGCGTTTTCCGTCCGTCAACCCTTCCCCTCCTCTCGAGAAGCGAGTGAATCGCGGAGGAAAATCGTCGGGGTGATCTTCTCAGAATGGATAACGGAATCATAGATTTTGTTGAATACATATCTCATATCCCAACAGTCAGGTGAGTATACGACAGAGCTCAACACAAACTGCGAGCTTATTGAGGTCGGTATTAGTATCGGAAACCTGAAAATGCTCATGACAGTTTAGGGATGTGTTTCCGCGAAGGCAGGTGAAACATGAATAAGGTAATGGTGCATTTAAGCCAAGCTGTAGGTATCCATATCTCGAATCCGATCACCGGTCAGTTTGCATCTGT